ACCTGTGCTCTCCATGGGGCTCTGTCACCCCCAGAAATGCATGACCCACACTTTTTTGTTTTTTATTTTTTTTAGGCGAGGCAACCCTTGGTTGACCTCACAGATTGCAAGGACCTTGTCAGCTTACAACTCCTTATTTTTTACACCTACAGCACCTGGTCTTCCTAGGTGGTCTCCCATCCAAGCACTAACCAGGCCCGACCCTACTTAGCTTCCGAGATCAGACAGGATCAGGCTTGTTCAGGGTGGCATGGCCGTAGACGTATGCCCCACTCTTGATGTGACACTGCCCTTGCCCCCACCATTCATTGGTGCATCCCCATTCCTGGCCCTTCGGTCCCCTTGTCTGCTGTCATGGGCCTACATGAGGCTGTAGCTTCCCCATTCCCCTGTCCCCACTTGCCCCTGCAGCCCCTTCTGCACTGGGCAGCGCTCCAACACAGACTGGTCACATGGCACCCTCTCGCTTAAAAACTTCTGTGCCTTTAAAAAATATAAACCGGAGTTCTGGTCTGGGCGACAGTGTAGCCCTTTTAGGCAGAGTGTACCCTCCTCGTCTGTGGAGTCCTCCATCGCCACTGCTCCCACTTCCTGGGATCAGTTCTCAGTCCTCATGTCATGTTCCGGGAGGCCTTTCCGGGTCCCCAGACTGGACCATGCCCCCAGTAAGCCTTCCCTCGAGCAGCCCAGCAGCGCCCTGTGTGCCTCCCGCAGGAGAAGATGCTGGACATTTACTGGCTGCTGCGAGTCTGCCTGCGGACCATCGAGCACGGTGACCGCACGGGTTCTCTCTTTGCCTTCATGCCCGAGTTCTACCTGAGCGTGGCCATCAACAGCTACAGCGCTCTCAAGAATTACTTCGGCCCTGTGCATAGCATGGAGGAGCTCCCAGGTGATGGGGCCATTCAGGCTGGGAGGGGGCCTTCGGCGTGAGCACTGGGGGCCCTGTTCTGAGCCCTCGCGGCCCAGCAGCACACATCTGCGGAGGGAGGAGGGGAGCCAGCTCCTGCTCTGCCCTGCTGCATCAGACAGGCATTTGCTAAAGCCTCACATGGCGGAGAGCCCTGCCTGGTGCCAGCACCGCAGAACCAGCAGCTCCTCCCTGGTGCTGGGAGGTACACAGACAAAATGGATCCCCACTTTCGTTGCCTTCTTGGTGCTGCTGTGCTTTGGAAGCCAACTGGCCTCTCACCTTGCCTTCCTGGTACTGGCCACAGGGTGTGGCAACTGCGCAGGGCAGAGTGGTTTGTCTCCGTAGATCACAGCAAGGAGTGGGCCGTGCAAGGGGCCACATAGGATCCTGGGCTTCTTGCAGACCACTGATTCCAGGCTGGCCTGGGTGGTCCGTGTCTGGCCTGCCCCTGGCCTGCCTTTGCCCCACCCCAGGCCTAGGCACAGGCTTTGTCCTCAGAGGTGGAGCCATGGGTACCCAGGGCGCTTTGATACTGAGCCAGCCATCAAGTGTGTGTGCCGAGATGGGTTTGGGCTTGGTCGGGTCTCTTGCCAGGACCTGCCCCTCCCCCACAGTGAGTCCGTGCCTTAGCCTCTCACTAGTTGATGGTGATTGCCGGGCCTGAAGTCCCCAGGTGCTGGCTTGGGCCCAGAATCGCCCTTGGAGCCAGGCCTGGAGCCCACTACCCAAGCCCACTCACTCTGCCCAGGGATGTGCCTGCCTCTGCAGCCCCCGCTCTCAGCCAACAGCTCTGACTCCGCACCCTGCAGGCTATGAAGAGACCCTGACCCGCCTGGCTGCCATCCTCGCCAAACACTTTGCCGACACACGCATCGTGGGCACTGGTGAGGTGCCCTATAGAAGGCTCGGGGGGATGGGATGGGATGGGATGGCATCTCTGGCTGGCTATTTGCTGCACAAAATGCTGGCCAGATGGGCAGGAGGCACGGGGGCCAGGGCTCATGCTAGGTACCTGCTGAGGCCCGGCCTGTCCCAGCAGACATCCGTGACTCGCTGATGCAGGCCCTGGCCAGCTATGTCTGCTACCCACACTCCCTCCGGGCGGTGGAGCGGATCCCTGAGGAGCAGTGAGTAGGGTCTAGGGGTGGAGCATGCACCCCGTCCATCACAGCACCACGCCCAACCTTACCCTGTGCCTGCCACCCCTTGCCTTCACAGGCGCATCGCCATGGTGAGGAGCCTCCTGGCTCCCTATGAGCAGCGGCCCTGGGCCCAGACCAACTGGATCCTGGTGCGGCTCTGGAGGGTAAGCCTGTCTAGAGGGGAGGTGGCTGTGGCTGGCCGGAAGGAAGGGTTGCCCTGTCCCACTGACCTCTCACTGACCCCACCCCCCAGGGCTGTGGGTTCGGCTACCGCTATACACGGCTGCCACACCTGCTGAAAACCAAACCTGAGGACGCCAATTTGCCCAGCCTCCAGAGTGAGTATCCAGCTCGAGCAGGCAGGCGGCCCTTGCCCACTGCTCCTGGGTTCTCTCAGACTTCTCCACTTCTTCCAGCCCCTCCCCGGGCCCCAAACTCCCTCTTTCCCCTGGGGTTTCCATTCCCCAGCATCCGTCCAGCTCAAGGACACTCCGGGACTACTCCCCCTTCCTCCCCAGTCTCACGTGTGCCCTTTGGGCCTGAGGCTGTGTGTGGGTCACAGTGAAAAGGGGCAGTATCTTCCCAGGCTGCTGGCAGCTTGTGCAGGGTGAGGACCCTGTTCCCTGATCTCCATCTTTGTCTCAGCACCATGTCCTTTTGCCCCTTTTTGCCATCTGCTGGTGCCAGGTCTTGGATACCTGAGTCCAGGGAGGCATAGACTGGGGGTTGGCCAGGGCCCCAGAGGGTGTCCATGGGCTTCCTGGAGGAAGGGGCAGCTGGTTGGAGCAGAGGCTGTGCTCTTGCCTGGGGCCATGGCCCAGCAAAGCCCTGTGAGCCTGAGGTCCTTCTCCCCGGCCCGGCCCAGGGCCTGCCTGCCACACGCCGTACTACTCACCTCACATGATAGCTTTCCTTAGCCCACAAGGTGTGTTTAGCCCAGGGCCTGCCTGCCACACGCCGTACTCACCCCACATGATAGCTTTCCTTAGCCCACAAGGTGTGTTTCTGCCTTGGTGGGCAATGTTTTAGCCTGAAAGGTGTCCCTAGAGGCCAAGTGCCTTGTACAGAGTCGCAAAGCAAGTCCTTGCCAGTTGCCTTGTTCCTGCCCCCAGGGTGGAACTGAGCTGCAGCGGAGAGTGGCAGTGTGGCCGGAGCCGTGTCCCGCTGCTGCAGGAACTATCGATTCGCAGGGGAGTGGGGTTTCTGCTCAGCCCGGCTGCGGCTGAGGGCTCTGGTTACTGCTGCCTCTCAGCTCAGACTTAGCGCCCACCACTTTGGCTACATGCCAAGGCCAGGCCAAGGGCAGCAGAGGACAGTGGAGGACGGCAGGGCTCAGAGGAGGCTCCTGGGGAAGCCAGCCTTTCTACGAGTGAAGAAAGGTCTAGGTCCCTGAAGCTGCGACTGAGAACTTGCTAGGGCTCAGGCTGAGGCTGGGGGTGCTGCTCTAGGCCTAGGGGGTGCTGTGGGGCTAGAAACAGCCATAGCCTATGGCTTGCTCAGCAGAGGGAGGACAGATTTAGCCCTAACCCCCAGGCCGTACTGCACCTCGTCCTCCTGCTTGTGTGGCCTGAGCGTTCCCAGAGCCATCTCTGTCCTACACCAATGGCCCACCGAGTGAGGGCAGAGGCAGCCAGGCAGGGCCACTGACTGGAGTCCCCGACGCTGCCGCCTGCCCATGCCCCTGCAGAGCCCTGCCCCTCCACCCTGCTGCAGCAGCACATGGCAGACCTGCTGCGCCAGGATCCCGACGTGGCGCCCAGCTTCCTCAACAGCGTCCTCAACCAGCTCAACTGGGCCTTTTCTGAGTTCGTCGGCATGATCCAAGAGGTGGGTTGTGGTGGTTGTGGTAGGACCTTGTGGACCAGTACGATGCAGAGGGTAAGGCACGATTTGCAGCGGCCAGGCCACTGACCACTGCCTGCCCACCCACCTGCCCATTGGTGGCTCAGATCCAGCAGGCTGCTGAACGCCTGGAGAGGAACTTCGTAGACAGTCGGCAGCTCAAGGTATGTGCCACCTGCTTTGACCTCTCGGTCAGCCTGCTGCGTGTCTTGGAGATGACCATCACACTGGTGCCTGAGATATTCCTCGACTGGTCCCAGCCTACCTCTGAGATGCTACTGCGGCGTCTTGCACAGGTGTGTGCATCCAGGCAAGGAGGGTCGGTGGGACCCAGGGTGCCCCAGTGGTGAGCCCACCTAGCCACCAACGTACTCCCGCCCTCACAGTTGCTGAATG